GACGGGGCTCCCGGCTCTGCACCTGCCTGCCGGTGCCGGGAGCACACCGGGCAGCGGGAACGGTGTCCGGGACACCCAGCAATGTGTGATTTCTGTGCTAGTGAAGTTTGGAAATTGACTGAACAGAGACGCCGAGCTTGGATATCCCGAGTGTTCTGGACGGTTTTAGGCGTCGGGGGATTGTCAGGTAGATGCAAGACTGGGAATTAGACTCTCGGTTACTTTTCCAAATTCAGAACAGCTCCATTCACGGACACTTTTTTAGGTTAGATTAAAAATAAATTGAGATCAGCATGTACGTATAGACTTGTACAGAAATAACTGAAGCAGGGAGAACCAGTTTAGTCAATTTCTGTATCAATCGTGTTTCAGGTCTTTGTTGTAACACCCTTTCCTCATCGGTTAGTTAAATTTTCACCCAATTGCAACAAGTAACAAATTTAAAATAACAAATAACGAATATTAAAATAACAAGTAACAGCTACATTCTTGTTGTGCATTTCCTTTGGATCAGTGAAGGCCTCTGCAGGTGAAGCAGCCTGGCACAGGGATCTGTGTTCTGTAGCACAAAATTTTCCGGACCATTCGAAGCTGTGAGCATGAAAAGCACACACCTGTACAGAAAGGTCAGTTATGGCAACAAATGGCACAGCACAGGAGCACCATGCTGGTCACAGCCCTGTGCAGGAGCTGCCCATTGCCATATGGCCACTGTTTTTGGAGATCACACAGTCACTGAGGTTGGAAAAAACCTCTGAGATCATCGAGTCCGGCCTCTGACTCACCAGCACCTTGTCAGCCAGGCCAGAGCACTGACTGCCACCGCCAGGCATTCCTTCAGCCCCTCAGGGTGGGGATTGCAGCCCGGACAGCCCTTTGTGTGAGGGAATTCCTTCTGGGATCCACAATTCCTTCTGGCATCCGAGGGCAAGTGACACTGGCTGAGAAATGGGCATGGACCTCTGGTGTCTTCATTTGTTCCTGTTCAGGGATTGACCCTGCCTAACACTGGGACTCTGTCCCACACCTGGGACTCTGCCTAACACTGGGTGGGACCTGTCCCACACCTGGGACCCTG